GTACACACAAAATTGCACATAGATTTTGAAATACCATCTAAATCTTTCATTTATTTCTTCTCCTTCACCCCTAATTCACTCTAGCATATTAAATTAAGCTTCACTAAACTGAGTAACTAAACCCAAATTGGTAAGAATTTAATATAGAAGAAGTTTGGGAATTTACAATCCATTGATGGAGATTTATCAAAAAAATTAACAAATCCATCTCTTCTTCCTTCAACTCTTCCCCCACTCTTATCTTTTAGTTATTTTTTACTGGCTGAAGACTGTAGAAACTCACAACTGTAAGACTTTATTACTTTTAGAGAATACACTATAGTACGTTTACTATAAATAATTCACACCATACTACACTTGTCAAAAGGAATGAACAAAGTATATATCATGGTACAGGAGTCTTGATTTTTATTGTTTTTGCTCACTTACTCACTAATTCTCCAACTGCAGCTCCCTGTCACTGTGAATTACAGTCGTTCTGATGTTTACAAATATTGTATTCTGCGTAATTAGATATTGGGAGAGGAGCCTCTGTAAATTACTTTAACTGGTGTCAGTACTGAAGCAAAATAAGAAGTTTTTAGCTTTGTTTCTGGTTTGGGTTATTTTCTGACCCTAAACAGCCTGACATAAAGAAGTGCTTTTCTTTGTCAAAAGCAGCCTTTTCAGATCTAACTGCCAGACACACTATTGAGCTATGTATTCAATTCTAATTGGCTGAGATCTTTTCAATTCGGCAGTTTCATCTTTAATGCAATGGATGTAAGATTATGTGTAGGTCTTTTCAATGAGTTTTCCATACTGGTGATTAGGGCAGAGGATTTAAACATAAGCAGGCTGCTGGCGATTTCTTCTGGCCAATTTAAATTGATTCATACAAGTCCTTTGTACCCTAGGGAAAGGGCATAACAGATCCAAGTGAGTGAGACAGCTATGGCTACTCTCAGATGGAAGAGTAGCCAACAACGGGGAGGGGTGCCGGTAGCTGACTAGAGGAGGGGAAACACTCTAAATATTGTAAAATCAGAGCTTTGAGTAGCCTCACAGAAAAATATTGAAACTTAATCAGTAGGCTTCTGTGTGGAATCAAGGTCACCAGGAAAATCATTTCCAAGATTGATTTTGATATCTTTAGGTTAAAAGGGCTATGTAAATGGAAACTGTTCTTCATATCTGATCCCGCAGGGAGCCATGGTGAGCAAACTCTCTTCTGAGTTTCTTTTTTTTTAATTTTTTTTATTTATTTATGATAGTCACAGAGAGAGAGAGAGAGAGACAGAGAGAGAGAGAGGCAGAGACATAGGCAGAGGGAGAAGCAGGCTCCATGTACCGGGAGCCCAACGTGGGATTCGATCCCGGGTCTCCAGGATCGCGCCCTGGGCCAAAGGCAGGCGCTAAAAGGCTGCGCCACCCAGGGATCCCTCTTCTGAGTTTCTAAAAGAAAGTTGAGGGGGATCCCTGGGTGGCTTAGCGGTTTGGCACCTGTCTTTGGCCCAGGGCACGATCCTGGGGTCCTGGGATCGAGTCCCGCATCGGGCTCCTAGCATGGAGCCTGCTTCTCCCTCTGCCTGTGTCTCTGCCTCTCTCTCTCTCTCATAAATAAATAAATAAATAAATAAATAAATAAATAAATAAATAAATAAATAAATAAAAGAAAGTTGATAACTCTTACAAAACTCTAAAGCACCCCTGCACTGAATGTGCTGTATCAGAACAGCAGAAGGTAAGCTAAAAAAAAATTTGTGTCAGTTGAAAAATTTGTCCTAGAAGCTTTGAGACGGGTAGTATTTGAGAAAAACTTCCAGATTTCTATTAAGAGAGTAGACTAAATAGTATAGTATAGTGATGATATTTTAATGAGGCCATGTCAATCTCCCCTGAACATATGAAAACAATACAACATTTTTCTAGCAAGAGAAAATAGCAACAATTTCATTTTGTGGGTTTTGACTCGTTCTGTTCTAGAACATATGCAAAAGATCCATCTGTCTCTTGAGTACTAACATTCAATTTGTTAAAATTCATAGTAATAACGAAATACAACACTGATGCCTAGCACATTAGTCGAACACATAAGGGTGACAAGTATAGCATATGTTGCAGAGACCAGTGGGTAAATCCTCTAAGCTAAAAAATTTTTGTTGTTGTCATTTGCAAGGAAATCTTGGGAACTTACACAATGATTCATTGTTTCTTAAAGTGTGGAATTCCACAAAAAAATAAAACTAAAACCAGTTTTCAACTATCACTCTCAGTCAACTAAAAACAAACAAAGCCAACCCCTGTGAAGAGTTAGCTATAGCAGCTATATCTGAGCTGTCTTCCAGAAGACTAATGCTTTGTAAACAGCTTTCCCTGAAACTCAAGTTTCTTGAGAGACACTGTCTGAGAATCACTTGAATAAATGCAATGTGTTGAGTAAGTAGAACTTAGCAAGCCCTCCCGAGGCTTCAGAATATGTAAGATTTTCAACTGATACTCAAATACAGAACTACCTGGAATTTATTTATTTATTTAAATATTGTATTTCTTTATTTGAGAAAGAGAGAGAGAGAGAATGCACATGCACATGCACAAGCAGGAGGGAGGGGCCGAGGGAGCTGGAGAAGCAGATTCCTCACTGAGCAGAGAGTCTGACCTGGGGCTCAATCCCAGGACCCTGGGATCATGATCTGAGCCAAAGGCAGACCCTTAACTGACTGAGCCACCCACCCACCCTGGAATTTATTTTATACAAATTAGAAGGTCCTTGTACCACAGAAATGCATCCAAATATTCATCAGAAGTCATGTATGTGAATGCTAATAGCAAAAGTATTCTTAATAGCCCCCAATTAAAAATTATCAAAATGCTCCTAAACAGAAGAATGAATAGTGATATAGTAACAAAACTTTATACTCTATAACAAGAATGAACAACATACAATGACCTGAAATAACATGAGTGAATCTCTCAAATTTTTGGTCAAAAGATGCCAGACTCAAAAATGTATATGCCATTACATTCCACTTGTCTAAAAGGCAGAGAAAGGCAAAGCTAATCTATGCTCCATAGAGGCAGCGGGACCCTCTCTGTGGAATGATTGGAAGAGAATGTAAATAGGGCTTTTGTGTTGGCCATCTTCAGTTGCTTCATCTGGATTCTGGATGTTGGATGTGAGTTCAGTTTGTGAAAATTCAACGAGCTATAACGTGCAGACGTATGTATGCGCATGTGTGTGTTTACCCAATGCTGAAATAAAAAACATAAAACATAACAGGGTCACATCTAGCTCATCCCTTACTTTACCATGTCTGCTCACTTGTCTCTATTAAAGTAACTCCTATAATCATTTTTTTCACTGGCAGTCTTCGGATCTATATTTTTCTTTCTCTTTATGTACTTACAACTCCCCATTCCTAGCTATCAGATTCCATCTCTCTTTTAATTGATAGAATTTCGTGTCCTACTTTAGGGTGAAAACCTTTTAGATCAAATTGGTAGCCTGAGAAATCTTCCAGTGTAGTAGCTGTGATTTTTTAGTACGGACTTCTAAGATTCGAGCGTTTAAATCCAACACTTCTTTATGTACTTTCAACATCCTAATAAGACAGCAAAAAATAGGCAGTATTTTATATTTAACAGTATTTCATTGTAACCCTCTGATTTCAATGACAATGTATACTGTTCCATTTCACCTGAACACTTAAACTCCATAGCAGCTTACACATATATCTCGAGCTTGCTCATGAGGTCCAATATATCTTAAAACAATGATGAAGATGCCATTTCATCTTTGATTGTTTCTAGTTTCCTTTCCCTTACAATGTACAGCTCATTATTGATCAACTCTATTTCTGAACTACTACTATTACCACTGTTATCAGTACTGAACTACCAATTATTAGTGCTTCCTATGTGCCAGCCAGTGTAGTAATCAATTTGCACATATTATCTCATTTAATCTTTACAATCTTGTGAAGTTGGCACTGCTATTATTCTCATTGTTTTTTTTTTTTTTTTAGATGAAGAAACATCTACTTCCTTACTCCTTGAATCTGGACTGGCCTTTGGACTTACTTTGACCAATAAAATGTGGCAACAGGGACATTAAGTGACTTAGAAGTCAAAGCCTTAAAAGGCTTTGCAAATTCTGTTCTCTCTCCCAACACTATACCAAGACTGTCACTTGAAAAGTCAATCTCACTTGCTGAAAGACACTGGTTGAAAGGAGAAGAGGGATACCCCAGGCAACAACCAGCACCAACTGTTAGACATCTAAGGCCATTTTGGGTGTTCCAGCACAGCCACCCCTCTTGCTAAATGTAGCTCATGAGCAAGTCCAGGCAAAACAGGCAAAGAAACCACCCAGTCAACTCAAAGAACCATTAGAAACAATAAATCATTGTTATTTAAAAAAAAAGAAAAAGAAAAGAAACTGAATTTCAGCAAGGATAGATGACTTGTCTAAGATCAAAGAATACAGCTTGATTTAAACCCAGGTGTTCTCACATCAAAGCTCAAAGTTTCATCACTTCAAGCTCAAGTTAAGTTTATAGGTACGCACTAATCATTGGTCTCTTTTTCCTAGTCCAGGCATTGTCAGTAAGTTTAGATGTAACAAATGTTCCCTTTCTTTGTAATTATTTCACTAAAACAATTTGAATCCATGTAAAAACTCCCCTACATAAGAGACAAAGTCTAGCTCTATGTCGACTCTAGGAAAGTAACTATTATTACATATCATAATTTTATTTCTCCAATATCTAGGATTGTTATAGCTCATTCACTTTTCAAAGTGCCAGTACCAAGAATGCCTTCAGCTCATCTGTAGCCCCAGAGTCTCCTTCCCTAGTGAAGGTCTATTGGACTCTGATCAAGTTCCCAAAGACTCAAATGTAACCTATAGAGGAAATGGGAGTGTACAAGTAATACAAGCAAAGGAATTATTAATGCATCGACATAATCTATGCACAAAGTTCAATGGTATCACTACAGAGATGCAATGATGAAGACTATACCTTTTTCATAAGCCCACATCAAACATGTCTGCTCATCTTTTTCACCACTAGACCTGCTAGGATCACAAGCTACCAGATTCATATCAGCTCCATTATCCAGTAAGAATTGAACCAGGCGAATGTGACCATGGTAGCAAGCAGAGTGCAATCCTATAATAGAATGAAAGTATGAAAGAAGAAAAGAGGAAAACTGAACCCCGATTTTCAAAAGACAGTAATTACCACATCACAGCATTGTTGCCAGAGATATAAAGCAAAGATGGATTTTTTTGATAAAGAATTAATTCTATTATTGAGCAAGCACACCCTACTTTAAGAAAAATAAGTATCCTATTTACTTGATCTTCTAGATAGATTGCCTTATGTTTAGCACAATTTCTGGTATTTCTACATCCACTGAAATTACCAAGAACAAATATTAGCATCTTTATACGAGAACAAAGGCCCCAGATAAATGTATTTCTTGAGCAGCAAACCAAGGGCAAGGCAGTGTGGTCAATTGTTCCTTGGATGGGCCATAATAGATGTGTCAACCATAGATAATTTTGCATGATAATGAAACTGACCAAAAGTCAGTCCAGTTTTTTTTTATTATCACTATGCACCATGAATTCTAAATGATGTCATCAGACAAAACATCCTTCCTCATCAGGGTTGACCCTTCCTCATCAGACTGACCACTTCCTCTTTCCTCTTCCCTGTTAATCACACCACTGTTCTTGAGCATTCATATGCATCAAAAACTGGTGATGTTTCACCAAAGTCTTACCTGTGTGCCCATCCCTTCCTTGGTGGTTGATACTTATGACGTTTTGATCAAGAAGGAATTTAACCAGGTCAATGCTCTTACCATAGGTACAAGCACTGCAAAAATACAACATAAGGAAAAGACTTCTGTTATGAGCTAAATTGTATGCCCCACAAATTAATATGTTGAAGCCCTTTTATAACTTCACAGTTTGACTATATTTAAAGGGATACAATTTAAGGAGCTATTTAAGTCAAAATGGAATCATTAGGGTGGGCCCTAATCCAATATGACTGTTGTCCTTATAAAAACAGAACTTTAGTACACAGATGACATGAACAGAAGGACAATCATGTAAAGACACAAGGAAAATGTGGCTATCTACAAGCCCAGGAGAGAGGCTTCAGAGGAAACCAAATCTGCTGACCTCAAAATCTTGGACTTCCAGCCTCCGGAACTGTGAGAAAATAAATTTCTGGCATTAGAGCAACTCAGTCTGTTGTATTTTGTTATGTCAACCCTAAAAAATGAATATAGCTCTGATTCACCCAGTCTATTCCAGATGTTAGTGTGTGTACAAGAGTGCTAAAGAGGCAAAGAAGGGAGAAGGAGGAAATGAGAGAGGAGAAGGAAGTGATAAAGAAAAAAAAAAGCACATACAGCAATAAAATCCTGAGATTCACAAATCTTTCAAGATAAGAAGTCATATAAAATTTCTCAAACCTTATTATTAAATATGTCCTATGATATTCTTTTTCATAAAAGAAGGAAAAATATTGTAAGAGTTTCATGCAGTTTTAACTATAGGACCTAGGTATTCTCCAAGACAACTGAATGGGGAACCCAGAAGGGTCCGGAGAGACTTAGGTGACAAGCCGGACTTTGACTGGCATCTGGGAGTGGCAGGGGGCGGTCTCGTGAGACTGAGCCCTTAGCCTGTGGGATCTAACACTAACTCCAGGTAGATGGTATCGGAACAGAATTGAATTGTAGGACGTATGCTTGGTGTCTGCGGAAATTTGGAGAATTGTTTGGTGCGGGAAAAACACACATGACTGGTGTCATCTATTTCAGAAGTGAAATATTGAATGTTGTAAAGCCACACAGAAAAAAAGTGTGTTTTTCTTTCCAAATTTCGTTCTAGGAGAGGCAGTTTACTAGGCCTTAGTATTTCCACTTCCTGGGATGACCTTGCCCAATACTTTTTCTTCCATGAAATGTCATTATTTTCCTTAAAGAAATACATTATTCACCCACCTGAACTGCTGGCCCATCTATGACGTCTTATAAACCAGAGACTGAGTTTGTTGATATCTCTACCCTTTCCTTGTCAGTTCAGTCTTACACGACACTTATCCTACTGTGTTATGGTAATAGGTACACCTCTGATTACCTTGAGACCTTACAACAGAGCTCCTTTAAGGAGGGAAGGAGTGGAGTCATCTTAATGTTCCTACCAGTGCCAACACAAGGCAGATCCTTAATAAGTCATTCTTGAATAATTGAGTGAATAGAAAGCCACCACTCAGTGCAATAGATCATATCACCATTAATTATTTGCGTTGGAAGTAGGACCCATAAAACCACACTCATAATGTTCCATTATCTGAACTGCCTCATTGATTCTTTTCGAAGTAACCTTTTACGGGAATTGATGAGTTCTGAATATATACATACACAGGTGTACATATGTGTGTACATGTGTATATACATGTGAAAACAATAACCGAAATGTACTGAGTGCTTCCTATTGAGTGCAAGGCATTGTGATTTTTACACAGAAAAATTTCAGAACCAGAGTGAACTCCTTATGTAAAAGGAGGGTTCCTTTTATAAATACATGCTTAAGATGAATAAAAATATTAATATAAAAAATATTAATGTTATTCTGTGTGGGTGACTGGGTGACGGGCACTGAGGGGGACACTTGATTGGGATGAGCACTGGGTGTTATTCTATATGTTGGCAAATTGAACACCTATAAAAAATAAATTTACAAAAAAAATAATGTTATTCCTAGTGGCCACAGGCTTACAAAAAATAAAACAATCGGATACGTACTTTTAACTCACTTCACTAAACTTGTCACATAGGCTTTTTTGGAGGTGACAATCATCCTTTGATTATAGTTGGCTCCAATTTATGTACATAGAGTAGCAAAATGACTTGAAAACTAGCCTGAGGTATCAGCCTTAACAAGCATGACCTAATGGGGAACGAGGGCACCAGCAACCATACATATCGGTTCTGCCAATTATCCCTTCGGGGAGAAATTCCACTGATCCATTTTGACTGAAAGTATGATCTAAAGAGTTCTTACATCTGTTCTGTTACAGCACGTGTAGAACACAGATGAAATATTTTAGTACTGGAACATAATGATATATAAAAAGCACAGAATTTGGAATCTAGGCATTTAATCCATGGCTTTCTAGTCCTAAGACTCTTTGCCGAGTCATATAGGTTCTCTGAGCCTCAATTTTCTCATCTGTAAAAGAGGAATAATAAATCCTACTTCATTCGTAAAATGGTTATAAGGATTAAATGGGATGATGGATGCAAATCATCTAGCATATATTCACTAATCCACAAATGGTAGCTTCCTTCAACTCCCTTTTGGCTGATCTCTTGGTTTGATAGGAAAAATCTGGGCATCCAAGCAATATCGGACAGATTGATGCCTTATCAGGAAGCTCAAGCTCAATACTAATTCAGTATGGAAAAAAAAAAGTCTCCCCATTTCTATCAATCACCAGTGAAACACAAATACTATGTAAATTACATATTAGTCTCAGATACATTTTGTAGAGGTTGGGAAACCAGCCAAGAAACCTGTAGTGTGTAGGTAAATGATCTTATACTCGAGGCTGAGTAAGTGGAAAGTACTGTGTTTTTATTTCTATAACAAAAGAGTAACTCATCCTTAAATACGAGGGTTTCAAATTTTATAAAACATTTGCCTTTCTTTGGGATATTTTGGGGAGCCATGGCTCTGAATTTTTAGCCACCTTTCCCCTCCTCTTCTAGAGCACACGGTAAAGGACTCTCATGCATTCCTAGAAAGGAGTTAATGCCTTCTTAGGTACCAGCGCGGCCACCCTGACTGGGCTTTTGCAGGCTGACAGATGGGTGTCTCAGATAGGGAGATACATTTGCACATAAGGTTTAAGTGGTGAGGAAAAAAAGTGTCACGTTTGATGCTGATGAATTCTGGTAATGAGATTCTTGTCGGAGGAGGATTATGGGCCCTGCCCCTTTTGGCAGCTTTCTGCAGAGTGAAGTGGAATAGAAGCAATATGCTTACAGATGTTGATATGCCTGTTGCCTTGGCAACATCAGCCCCTGTCTTTGTGGCCGCTGCCAGGAATGCAGCATCTGGCTCCGGCCCCATCTGTTGTACTGACTGCAGCATCTGCCTCTACCTTTTCTTCTGTGTGTCTAGCGTGGGCTCCTTGTCCTCTGCCCACCCTCTGCTCTTGCTCTCTGATCGCAACATCTGCCGCTATCCGCGCTTGCTGTAGGTAGACAACTGCAGGTGCCGAAGGGTGTCGGCCACCCTTAGTGGCTGTCCAATGTAAACATTCTTTTACCTGTGAAAAGCCGTTTCACTGAAGATGTTTTCTTTAGTCATACTTTCTATTCCTGATATTTGGATGATTTCCTTGGCGACTTCAAATTTGCCATTGTAGCATGCCCTAGAGTTCAAGAAAACATTTTGATGATAGTAAGAAGGTGCATGGAGCATAGCTGGAGGACACATGGAATGCTACGTACTACTCACAGGTGCAAGGGGGTATCTCCGTAGATATTAACAACATGTGGCTGAACTTCACTATCGCTCTGGAGCAGGTACTTCACTATGTCATGGTGTCCAAAGCGGGAGCAGAAATGGAGGGGAACGTGGTCTTCATTGTCCTGAGCATTCACTGTCATCAAGAAAGGAAAAGTATGTTATCTGGAATCTTCTGCGTCTCAGCCTTCTCATGTGTGGTGTCAGGAACTTTCCTAAGTGCCTGAGAGACTCCTGGAAATTGCCAATTAATGATAATAATAAAGGAAATTAAGTGCAACCAATTTAAAAAGTTATAATTCTGTTCTATTGCCCATTACCACATTAAACAGGCTTTCTTCTAGCTTCCATAAATTCTATGGAATGCATCTCATCAAATCTACCTTGCACAATGGAATAGTTCAGGGAACTAATAAGCATCCAAAAGATCCTCATGGTCTTATTTCCACAAGTATCTCCTTCCAAATTGATTTTTTCCCCCTTTTTGTAAGATGCTAAAGATTTTACCAAAATCTTGGCTAAAGCACCATTGCCAGAGATTTTGGTTCAATAGGTTAGGGTGGGGCCTAGCACTGTGTGTGTTTACAACACTCTGTAGGAAGGTCTCATGTACCCTTAACTGAGAATTATCATACTATCATACACACAGTGTGGTGTAACGCAAAGACAGGCATTGGAGTGAGGCCGACCTCATTCATTATATTTCCTTAGACAGTTCTTGAAATCCAGTTGTTCACTCAGTAGTGAGCATCTGTCCTCTCTTTGGCCCAGCCGACCTCATCACCCTTTGGACATTTGGAAAATTCCCTGACTAGAGGCCAAGACCATGTTTAATTATAGGAGCTAAAAATATGTTTTCCAAGCCTCCTTTGCAGGGAGGGCACAGGATTAGCAGAGAGTGGCCATATGTCCTGGTTTAGGCTCTATCCTAGCATAGTTTTTAATAGTGGCCCTTTCACTCTCAGCAGTGCCCTGGTTTGGACACTTATCTATGGGCTGCTCCAATCAACACACTATGTCAGACTCTGACATGAGAGCTGATGACTCAAAAAAAGCAGAACCTGATCTATCTTGGCAATGTAGCAACAGTAGAGTAGTTCCACCCAGTTTCCGGTGGTAGTGACTCCAGTCGGACTCAGTGCCCTACACTGTCGGTGCCAGAAGCACAAGCTACCTAGCAGTGGCAACGTGTCTTCAAATGACTACTCTTGGGCTGTGGTTGTGGATGCTGTTCCTCACTGTGACAGTTCGAAACATGGCCCTCTAACCCGTCCCGGGGAAGATTCTGTGCTCTGATATTCTTTAATATATCCCTTTTATGCTTAAATTAGCAAGAGTTACTTTCCAACGCTTGCAAATAAGAACTCTTGATTGATACATACTCATTCCTCAAACAAGTATAAAAGGATCACTGCGCGCCAAGCACTGTGCTGAGTATTGGAGATACTGATTTATTATCAATAACGATGGATATAATAGTAGTATTGTTGCAGGGATGCTGAAAAGATTAAAGAAGATCATTACCAGAAAGTATCTAGCATGATGCCTGCCACATATTAGACCTTCAATGAAAGTATGTATTCTCCTTTTTCATAAATTTCCCTCCTAGAAATCTGCTAAGTGCTAAGGCCAATATGCTACCAATAGATAGAATCTATAGCCTTAAATAACCTGAAATCTAGTTGAATATTCAATAATTTCAGGCCTGAAGAAATAATAACTGAGCACCAGCTAAATTCTGGATCCGCTTCAGCACAACTTTTAAAACTAAAATAACTGAATCATCTGCTCTATAACCATTTATTGTATTTGATTATTTTGTTAATCTGTACAAGGTGTTTTATTCAAAATAGAAAATACAGTCTTTAGCAAACCCATGTATTATCATTCTTTTATGCATCTATAATAAAAATTATCTGTAGAAACAAAAGGATTGAAGAAAAAAATAAAGGATAGATAGGAAGAAGAAGGGAAGATAATAATTTTTAAAGTGTGCAGGTAGCTTATTACTACTGTTGTTACAATCATCATTTAAAATTTAATGAACACAGGTCTGTGGCTGCTATATTTGTAGACAATGATTCTTATGTTATTGTCCTGCAAGATCTTAAGCCAAAGGGAAATCTTTAACAAAGTCACTGAACTTCTCCTCCCAAGGCCGTTATTGAAAAATAAATCTTTGAATCTTTTTTTATTAATGAGTGGCTCAGAAGGACATCCTTACTTCAGAAGAATGTCCCTGGTTATTTTGATTATCTTTCTTTTTATGATACCTCTCCTTTGTTTACATTCTGTTGGAAGCCAAGGAAAGTCAATACCATAAGTCAATGCTTTAGAACGGTAGGGAGTCCAGGGCTACTGGAGGTCACATAAGAGGCCCTGAGGTCCAGAGGGGACATTGTAAAGCAGCATACGGCACAATCTTCCATTAATTCATAGTTTGCCTTTGGCCATCCCCAACCCCACCCAACATTATTCTTCTCTAGTTGAGTCAGTAAACTTCAAAGTAGATTAACTACTTGGTGAATTATGTGCAGTGGCCTAGATGTTCTTTTCAGCAAAGAAGATATAAATACCAACTGAAGGGTCAAGCCAGGAGAGATCTGGATCAGACACAGGGTTTATAGATACACGTCTATGTTTCTGCTTCAGCCATTGTGATCTACCTAGCTTTGTCTTGGATCAGTTTGTGGTGACAAAAAAAAAAAAGGTGTATATTATTATATCTTACGTGAGGGAAACTGAATGCATGAATGGTATTCTATTTGCTCTAATTTCACATTTTATTGAGAGTTAAACAAAGAATTTCAAGCAAAGAAATTGATGTAAATCATTATTAGGAAAGTATTTAGTGTCTAGTCCTCTACTTTGAAGAGTGCATGTGTTCAGTAATGTATTTTGAAAGAAAGATTGGGAGACTGGGTGGGTGGATGGATACTCTTTCTTGCTTATCTCTGCTTATTGATCTTAAAGATAAAGTAAAAATTTCCATAGTAATCCAGCAATGCAAGCACTTCCCATTAGCTCTCTAAAACAACTCCCAAGTGGGTCTTAAATACACGTTCAATAACAAATCTGTGTAATAGCTCTGACGAGATATAGTTTTAGAAATAAAATCCTTCCTTTTACTGGCCAAGCCTTAGAAATTTTTTGTGACTCTATATAATATCCAGTTCCATGTGAAAGGAACTGTGGCATTTAATAGATGACAAAAAATTAATAAATTCCGGGTTTAAATTTTTCCATTTTTAACTTATTAAAATGATATGTTGTGAAGGCTCGATCACTACTTTCTTCTTATGGAGTCCAGTAATATTTTGACCTTTTCAATCTCATTCAATAAGTATTACATTTCTCCTTTTTCATTTTCTTAAGTGGTACAAAGAAGACTAGAGACTTGAAACATATGTGACTGAATAGGTCAGCCTCCCAAACATGCCCAACTGAAGAGGTTGCTTTCAGAATTACATTTTGGCTAATTTTGTAAGCTGAATTTATTTTCATTTGTGACATTCTGTTGCCATGGAAACATACTGTAAATACCAGATTTTGAAACGTGCCCCTTTTGGGGTCATTAATTTACTCTTGCTCTTATGTCCACTTACCACAGCCAAGGGCCAGATCTAAAATAAATTATCTGGAGGCTTAGCTACACTTTGGAATAAATGAACCAGCTGACACTAAAACCAGTGCAGTGTCCAGTAGCACCACAGACCTTCTAGTTTATTTTTTGTGACTAGTTAAAGTACAAAAGGGACTTAAATATCAAATGTGTATTAGAAGGAAATTAAAATACATAAAAATCTGGGTCATGTTGTCTCTTGATACTTTAAATGATTGAGTAGGAAGCATATAGTGCTTGTGTGAATCAGAAAGTGCCAAAATTTATATCATATGATGCTGGCATGTAGGGGGAATATGGGTGCAATATACATTTCAATGCCTTTTGTAGAAGAGAACTTTGATCCCGGAGACGTGCTGATCAATGATACTCATTTTGACACCACTGAGCTTTGGAGTTGCACACAGGAATAAAAAGCTGAGGTTGGCATCGATAATAAAAGCAAAAAGTGAGCTGTTTCTGACCCTTTGGAGGAGTGAGACAGGTTCATACAGGTGTACCTCCGCCTATGCTAAACCAACAGAATCAAAGAGAATGCTTAAAAAAGGTCTAAGGAACAGCATTGCTGCATCCGGACAACACAGGTTATTTATGATAATCCTATAGAAAAATCCCTCAGTTATTGCATCCTGGCTGATAGAAAATGACACCAGCTATGTTTCTCAAACTTCACAAAATAAAATGGCCCTCTTTCCAGCAGAGAAACTGGGAACGGCCCTAGCCTCTTCCCATACTTCTCTCTGGAAGCCTTTATGTTTTCCTTATGTGCGGGTAAAAACATTGATTAGCTTTATTAACTGAATATTGATCTCAATTTTGGACCAAGGCACTGGCAGTTCGAGAGCTCTGACAACCTTGTCCTTTTGTAAATGTGCATGGTTTCTGCTGCAAAGGCTAGCAGCTCTTACAGCTGGGCTTTTAATTAGGTCTCTTGGGGGTCAATGGAAGAATGTTGGATATGCCTGAGAGAATTTAATGACAAGATGTAACTCTGAGTGAATTTGTGTCAAAAAATAAAGTTTGTAAGGAAGAGAAAAAGAAAAAGAACTTTTTACAACACTTTACTTTTTTTTTTTTTTAAGATTTTATTTATTTACTCATGAGAGACACAGGGAGAGAGAGAGGTAGAGACAGAGACACAGGCAGAGGCAGAAGCAGGCTCCATGCAGGGAGCCAGACATGGGACTTGATCCTGGGACTCCAGGATCACACTCTGGGCTGAAGGCGGAGCTAAACCATTGAGCCACCCGGGCTGCCCTCGACACTCTACTTTTAATCAATTTTCTAAAACTCATCTTATAATTAAGAAAATTAAGAGTTGTGGGAAATTCTATCCCTTAACCATAACCTAAAACGTTCTGTATGTTCTAAAGCTTATTTCTTCTAGCCTGATCATACCATAATGCTGTTTCCACTAAAAATAAGAGTAATATCAAATATTGAGGAGGATACGGGCAGCCACTGACACTCTCATATATTGTTGTGGGGTTTAAACTGTACACTTAGGGAAACTGTTTCTGATTTCCTAAAAAGTTAAACATATGCATACATAGCAATTCCACACACACACACACACACACACACACACGTATATATATATAACCCAAGGGAGATAAATATACATGTTCACAAAAAAAGAATTGAATAAGAATGTTTCTGGCATCTACATTCATAAAAGCCAAACTCTAGAAACATTCAAGCATCCCTGAGGAGGACGATGGATAAGCAAATTGTGGAATATTCATACAACTTCAGCAATAAAAAAGAGCAAACTACGATCCATGCAACAACATGTATAGAAGTTAAAATCATACTGTCAATCAAAAGAAGGCAGTCCCAAATTGTAGGAAGTTCAAGAACAGAAAAACTAAACCTATGGCAATAGGAGCCAGAGTATTAATTACCTTTTGTGGTTAAAGCTATTTACTGAGAAGAGTTCTACTTTCCCTATGAATATATTTTACATCTTGATCTGGGTCATTTTGCATGGAGAGTAAATATTCACTGAGGTCAACATTTACTTAATTCTGAGAATTTTACTATATGCAAATTTTACCTCAATTAAAAAAAAAAGATTAGTGAAAAATAACAAAATGAGAATAATTTATCCAGGAAAACTCTTTAGTTTTATTGAAGCATCTAATATATTAGGAGTTGAATGAAAATGTATACAAAAAGATTAACATATAGATTTAATTATTACATTAAAAATAATAAATTATGGTTTGTGGAACAAATTTGCATATGTAATTAAGCAGCCTCAAATTTTTTTCTCTAATAAATAAGCTAAGTGCAAGTAAAAAAATACAGATAAAGTAAAAAATAGCAAATGCCTTCTAAACATATAATCTTACCATCTGCTTTGCTGCCGTCTTCCATCAAGAGTTTTGCAATATTAAAGAATCCTTTTGCAGATGCTAGGTGGAGAGGCCTATCTCCAACCTCACCGCTTACATTTACATCAGCACCAAATTTCAAAAGAAGGCGGGTTACCTAAAGAATCCATTCATTTGAAATTAGTATCAAAAGTCAAACAATAATGCAAAGCTTTCAAAAGTATGGAAGAAGACATATAATTAAAGCCTCCTCTTAAATTATTTTTACCTGAAAATAACAGAAAATCCTAACTTGATTGGCCTAAACAGTAAGGAATTTATTATTATATCACCTAACAAGAATTCTAAAACTAGAGCAATTTCAGGGTTGGTTCTTCATTGTACATAAATAATCCTCCCTAACGTCCTTTCCAAAGTCGTCTTCTGGCCAGAGCCAGCAGTGTTTATTTGATGCTCGATTTTCACGGCAACACCATGCATAGGTCACTGGTGATCATCTCGCTACTAGAGTTCTGGGTTTTTTTTGGATTTGTGAGTAAATGCTGATAGCTGCACTAGCTGTCAGCATTTTCCTTAATTAGCTGAGATCCACGTCCAAAGGGAGAGAGAGAATGAAGTATTAAACAACTTAGGAGTCTTCCAGGGATTGTTTCGGGTAATTTATAGGATTTCTTTAAGTTATTTACCTACCCAGTTGTGAACATTCCAAGTAATTTCTCTAACTCTGACATTGTCTCCTCTGGGCATTTCAGAAGTCATTACAATGATCCCAAGAGGTAAGTTAGAAGGAATCTATGCCATTAAAGTAACAGTTAAGGGTGGAAATCTCAACTCACCTGACCACTGAGGTGTTAGCATAAAAGTGAATTCAAATGCTAAAAATAGTTTGACTTTCTACACGGCAGCAAATAAACGTGTCTTGGGCAGAAACCTCTCAAGAATATGGTACGTATTTGATAGAAATTCTAGGCAAAAAAAAAAAAATTAGTAGTGTGGCATGTGGGGGAAACTTCCTATTGAGTGTAGTGAGTAAAGAACAAGGGTTCTGAAGTTAGGCTTTACCACCTTTAATAAATTATTTGACCTTTTGAAACTTCAGTTTCTTCATTATTAAGATGAGAATCACAATCGTTCCACTTCATAGAGTTGCTACAGGATTAAATAAGTTATCACATGTAAAGCACTTAGAAAAGTGCCTGCCACTCAATAAATGTTAGCAGAAGTGGTAGCACCATGTGGAACATGTGTATTTTATCCATTTGTTGGCTAATGGGCAGACCAATACTTAATTCAGAAGAAATTGGAGCAGTAAAAGTCAGTCTCAAGAACTGTGTGTTCCTAAGCAGATATTTCCACTTACAAAGACTCCATAAATTCTGATTATGTGATTTTAAAATGGACAGCTTTAAACTATCTTTGAAATCGATTGTCTATTAAGCACTATTATTGTATAGCTAGGAAATATTGCTCTTGGTCCAAAACATCTACTCTTCCACTTAAAAATAAGTAAATAAACAAATGGCAAAGAACATGGAACATTAGGCACATTTATATATCGAATGTACCATTCTCCTGTCAGCATATTTTAGCAAATGACAATAGCATCCATAAATTACTTATCTGCTGTCTTCGCACGCAGAAAGTGAGTCCCTTATCATAAAAAGGCCATCCACATTTTAGCATAATTTTATAAGACTGTGACTATATATTCAGGGAAAGTAAACAAATTTAGCTATCCACCCAACTTGCATAGAAGCTCTTTATGTTTCTGTGGGTGAGGAGGTTAATCACCAAAGAGGATGACTCTACAAATAACATGCATTGTGTACATCCTGCCTCTGCCTAAAGTCAGAAAAGTATGGAATTTTTTTCATCATCTGGGCTTTTAGACTCTGTACTTTCTGAAGCATTTTCAGTGCCTAGCTCTCCAGTACACTCCAGTGCACTCTGAGCAGCACATCAAATGAAATGAGAAATCTTTCCTAGCTATAGGTCACGCTTCACGGGTCTGAGAGTGTCCAAGCATATGCCAGATAGCAAAGAAATAAAGGCACAATGACTAGAAGAGCACAGAGACACAAGTAAGTTTGATTTTTAACTTGGAATCCTCAGGCAGTACAGTGGTCTGACCTCTGCAAAGGCAAAAAGGTGTATTTTTACTCCATGATTGAGTAAGCCTAGAGATCTAGAGATATAAAGTAAGGGAGAGTGAAAATGGGATGTCAAAAGAACAGTTAAGCTTTGATTACCCAATTACATGTGTACTTCTGTTTTATTTGGTTCCATTTAGCTTCTTAAGGCTAGCTCAATGGCAATGTTTGAAAGTAGCAAATAAAAATTTTATCTTTCAATACTTTAAGGTTAAAAATCAATAGACTTACTGCGTCCTGGAAGGTATGTCATATAGGCTTTCTTTTCTATAGACAATGTGGCTTTTAACTCATTAGGCATCTACCTCTTTGGAAAAGTTTGACAATTCCATAAGATGTTAAACGTAGTGTTACCGCATGAACCACCAATTCCACCCTGAGATGTACCCAAGAGAAATGCAAACAGATGTCTACGTCAAAACTTGTACATGAAATGGAAGTGGGGAATCAGTGGAATAGATAAGAGGATTAAGAGTACACTTCTCTTGATGAGCAGTGAGTAATGTATAGAATTGTTGAATCATTATACACCTGAAGGTAATATAACACTGTATGTTCACTATACTTGAATTTTTTTAAAAAGTGAATATTCTTTTTTTTTAATTTTATAAATTAATTTTTATTGGTGTTCAATTTACCAACATACAGAATAACACCCAGTGCTCATCCAGTCAAGTGTACCCCTCAGTGCCCGTCACCCATTCGCCCCCACCCCCCTCCCTCATCCCCCTCCACCACCCCTAGTTCATTTCCCAGAGTTAGAAGTCTTTATGTTCTGTCTCCCTTTCTGATATTTCTCACACATTTGGAGAAGAAATGTGTAAAAAGTGAATATTCTAAGCAGCATTATTCATAATAGCCAAAGAGTGGGGGGATAAAAATCCAGCGTCCACTAACTGATGAATGAATAAAAAAATCCAACATATCCATACAACAAAGTGGTATTCCACACTAAGAGGCAAGGAGGTGCAGATACATGCTATAGAGTTGATGAATCTTAAAAACCCTGTGCTAAGTGGAAGGAATCAGTCACAAAAAACCATATGTTGTATGACTCCATTTGTAGGGAGTCTCCAGAACAGGTGAATCTGTAGAAACAGAAAGTATATTAGTATTCTCCTCAGGCTGGAAGGGAGAGGTTTGGAGAGAAGTCGGAAGTGCTAATGTATGCGGGGTTACTCTTGGGGGTAATGACTTCCTTCCATTAATTGTGGTGATGTTTGCAAAACTCCGAATATACTAAAAACCACTGAGTTGTACGATTTACATTGACGAGGTAAATCTCAATAATAAAGTTGTTACAAATTTAAAAAGTCAATGGACTTTGGAGTGAGAGCCCCTGGCCTTGAATAATGGAGCCCCACCACTTAGGCACATTTCCTGGACTTTCTAATTTGTGTCTCTGATAGAAGAAGAGGCTCTGAGGTACAACAGAAGAACTTGGGCTTTGGGATTTGACAGACCTGGATACATACTTCGGCTCCTCTCACCAGCTGTGAGACTCTGGCATGTTACCTGACCTGAGAGAGCTCGTGTAGATCATACAACAAGAGGCCAGACAACAGTTAATTTTCAGATTGTGGCAAAATTACAAAAAAGGAAAAAAAAATCCACACAAAGTGGATACAGTATGAGATCGCTTATATGGTAATTCTTGGCAAGTTCCTCAGGTTGTCGTGAAGGTCAAATGAAACTATTCATTGAGTGAAGGCACACTGTAGATTTTAAAACATTCTCTGTATATTATTACCTTATTACAGAAGGTCAAATTTTATAAATAACGACCCGTTATATAATTATTTATTCAAAGCAAATTATATTTAAAACACGTATAATTTTTTTTTTTAATTATCTGGGTTAGTCCATATATTAGTTTCCCACGGTTGCAAATTTCCACAAGATTATTGGATTAAAACCGCACAGACTATTCTCTTCAAGTTCTGGAGGTCAGAAATCTAAAATCAAGGTTGTTGGCAGCTTTTATTTCCTTGCTTTTTCAGCTTCCCTAGGTTGCCGGCATTCCTTAGCTTATGACCCCTTCTCGTATCACTTTAACTTCTTGCCTCTCCTGTCACGTCTGTTTCCTGCTCCCTATTGTAAGGACCCCTGTGATTACCTCAGGTCCCCCCAGATAATTCTAGGATAATCTCTCCAACTCGAGATCCTTCACTTGATCACATCGGCAAAGTCTCTTTTAGGGCATACACAGGTTCCGAAAAATAAAACATGAAACATACCTTCATCCTATTACATCCCAAGACAGTAAAAAAAGAAGAAACCAAGTTTCTGAAAGACATTGTTTCACCTGCTGGGATGGCGGTTATAATTCGTTTTATTGTTACTGTGCCAGCATCACTGTAGTGATATTATCCAGCATTTGCCAAACACTTTTAGATTAATATCTCATCATATCAGCAACCCTATGAGGTAGGTACTGTTTTGTCTATTTTGCAGATGAAGAAACTGAAAATCGGGGAGATGATATAACCTATACATGGTCAAAAATTCGGGAATTTTTAAAATTCAGACTGACAGATTCCTGGGATTGTACAGTGACTCTACTGCCCCTCTTGGGTCCTAAGATAGTAAAAATGGGTAAGTTGGCAGATGTAGTACTTCTATGAATTATAAATTCCTCAAGGGTGGAGCTGATGAGAATATGGCAAAAATAATTCAAAGGGTATCTTAAATATTCTGTCTTTGAGGCTAGGACAGAGAGCTCAGCAAGCCTGGAACTGTCCCCCAGCTTTTGGAGATCCTACCATCAGGCTTACCTGTTCATGTCCATAGTATGCTGCAATGTGCAGCGGAGTGAAAAAAACTGCATCCTGAACATTGACATTAGCTCCGTGTTGCAGCAGGACATCAGCAGCCTGGAAAGACGGAGAAAGCTCAGTGAAGACCTTGACTTAGGGCATCTGCCCATCAAAATTCGTTTTACACCCGCTATGCACAGCGCTACTTCAGAAGTCGCCATCCTGAAACAAAAGTTTTCTTCTGTCTCCCTCTCTGAAACCTCTAATGGCTTGTTTTGTCTCGAAAATGAAGACTGAACCCCTTGGTGTGGCTTTCCAATGTCTTCTTGACTTGAAGGCATCCTTTTTGAATGCATTTTCCGTTATTCTCTTTCGTAAACTCCATTATTTGGTAAAACTGCACTCCATTTCCCGCTCATTTGAGTCTTTGTTCACATCATTTCCTCAGCTAGGAATTATGTTCTTCCCAATCTACAGATATTTACAGCCAAGCTGAATATCTTCTCCTCCAAGATTATCTTTGATTTTCCTCCCTATATGGCCAACCCACTTACTGAAATTGTCTTTCTCCTAAATCTCATACAACTTCCTTTCATGCCATATAGAACATTTAAGGAATTATATACATGCCTTTTCATCCGTACTAGAGCACAATCCGTGAAGGATAAAGTACATCAGGTTCATCTTTATGATCCTGCCCTGACCTGTTGCTATGCAAATAGTATTCATTCCAGAAGCATTTGGAATGAATGAATGGATGAGTGAATGAACGAGCAAGTGAAAGACACAAGGAGCTGTTGGCCAACTGTCTTCATTGAAAATTATAGATTGGTCACAAATCTGCTAACCTTCAAATCTCTTCTCCTCCCAATGACCTATTTATATGTCTCACTTCTCTGGAAAATTGATTGGAGACATTTCCTTCAGATATGGTCATTTTAATTGTGGATTTTAACGTGCTGTCTATTCTTCATGTGCTCAAATAATATACATTTAGGAAAATTTTCAAAAGTCTGTTAGGCTTGGAGAGAAAACAAGAAGATGGGATCAAAAGCTCAAAGGACTTACATTCCAACACCTCTTCTATTCCAATAAAAAGACTGCCTCCTCAGTCAAGTTTCCTTTCCTGTTTGAATCATAGCCCTTCAGAACTGGAGAGGGATCATGGACAGACATGACAAATCAAACCCCCATTAAAGACAAAGAAATTGAAAATGAGAGGAAATGTCTCAAAGTCCTGGAGCAAGTCAGTGTCAGCACAGAAGTGAATCTTTAATCTCTTGCCTCAAGCTTTGTTTCTGAGTGCTCCATGGTTTTAAGTAGTTTATTCATTCAATCATCCATTTATTCATGCATCAACACACAATTTATTGAGTATGTATGAGCTAAAACTGTGTTGTTTCACATGCTTATTCTCAATTTATTCAATCAACTTAGAAGTGATTGTCAGACAAAAAAGACACGGGCTTCTTTTTTCTTAAGTACAAATGTTTATTGAAACATTATTATAGTAAAGAAAAAAATGGAATGTTCTTTGTGGAAATAATATTAAATAAGTTCTCAAAACTATCACTTTTGTATTAACTTGGAAAGGAGTCCATTAAATACCTTTAAGTTAAATAATCACATGTATTCTTACATACATATTATGTATAGTTATGACTTAAAGGATAGAATGAAATATACTAAAACATTAATAGGAAATAGCTTTATGACATGAGGTTTCAAGGGAACTTCACATTTTTCTGTTTCATATTTTTTAGCACGATTTGTATTACCAGGAAAATGTCTTCCATTTTGAAACAAAAATTAGTAAGAAATACCAAATTTTAGTATTTTGGATAAAGTCATTTGACTCATATTTTTTTCTTTACTGTTTTCCCAATGAAATCACTGTTCTAAATAAATATTTGCATTATCCATGGGCAGAAGTAAAATAGGGGGCTGTTTAGAGCTTGTGAATATAGTTCTGAGTTAAAGCTAAAGACACTTTTGATATTGGAATGAAAATAAAGCTGAGTTTTGGTGGTTTTGAGAAAAAACTTCTACTAACAAAGCAACATCTATAGTTCCAGGATATTTGAAATTCTTACCAAAGAAACTCTACATACAACAGGGAAAAATAGTCAAGATTATGTTTTTGATGGTTTTGATGATTAATACTGAACAAAAATCAGAAGATAAAATACAATCAGTGACTTAATTCTATAGATAGCAGAATGACTGAGTTTAATATTATAGACTTTTCAATTAATTTGGGCATAACTACTGCTTTGCTCAATTACATTTTCTAGCTACCCAAAAAGGTCATTTATAAGATCAAAGGAATGTGAATTTTCATCAGGTTGATCAAAAGCAGCTGGATATGTTCTTTCTGTCAAAGATACACATTAGATTTTTTTAAGTTCTTTAAAATTATTTTTAATTTTTAAAAATTTTTCTCCAAGAATTTCTTTAAATTCAAATTAGTTAACATAATAGTGTAATATTAGCTTCAGGAGTAAAATCTAGTGATTGAAAAAGATAAGGAATTCTTGTTAGGATATCTAAAATTTCTGGCAGTTTCAAAAATATAAACAGAGGTTGGGGCACCTGGGTGGTTCAGTCTGTTAAGCGTTTGACTCTTGATTTCAGCTCAGGTGATGACCTCAGGGTTCTGAGATCAAGCAAGCCCTAGGTCGGGATCCACAGTCAGGGAGTCTCCTTGAGAGCGTCTCTGTCCTTCTCCTTCTGCCTCTCCCCTCTGTGCGTGCTCTCTGTCCCTTTCTCACAAATCAATCAATCTTTAAAATATATATATATTAAAATATATAGAAAATATATTAAATATAAATACAAATAAATATATACAAGTATGTATATATTTACATATTATATATATATATAATATGTATATATATATATATATATATATATTGAGAGAGAGAGGGGGGCGCTTCTGTACACTTCCAGAACAATACTTTTGCTGATATTTGGGTATTGCTAATTAACAATCCATAGAATAAATAATGTATACAGTGAGCTGTTTTCCTAATAAAAATTTAAAAATACCATTAACATTTATTGAGGGCATTTTATGTCTCAGACCCTGCATAAATGGTAACTGCAGTGTCCTGTCTCATCCCAAAACACAGAAAGATTGGTGCTACTCTTCCATTTTAAAGGTGAAGAAACTGAGCCTCAGGAAGTCTAGATAACTTTTTTGAGGTCCTATAGCTAGTAAAGGTAGAACTGGAATTCAAAGCTAGATCCCTTTGACTTCAAACATTTTCCATTAGGCCCTTGTGTGACCTTCATCTCATTAACACTAACCTTTAAGTAAATGAACTAAATGACTCAAGCGCAGACAAGAGGAAACATTCTCTCAGTAGAAGCTCTGTAGATTCAGCTTGGACATGAATACCAGAGTCATTTATATAAAGCACTTGGTATCTTCAGCTTCACATGCCTGGGAGTTCAATCTTAGGAACCTTTATAGAAGGTCACAAACGATCAAGTATATGAAGCTTTTTACAGTTTCTCTTATTTTAAATATAGCATAGAATAAAGTAGACAGCATGCATTTTTATTGTAATAGAAACTCTCAAATGTTAACATATAGAGCCAATTTCTTAGGCATGGTTCCAGAACTTACTTTCATTCTAAAAGATAACGGCCCTTAGGCTTCAATAAATGGTTCAAAGCAAACTTTTTCCTCCTAAATTTGCACTTATCCAGTCATTCAGAAGGTCAATCTTTTGGATGAACATTCGTTAATTATGAAGTGTTGGCCTTCTGAGAAACTGTCAAAATGTAAGTCTTAATGAAACCACACAGAGTCATTATCGAATGGTAAGCTTTATTTAGTTTGTTTTAAAATTCAAGGAAATATTTAACCATTGAGAGCAATGCATGTTGGAATTATCTGAATAATGTCATATGAGTAGAATGCATTTACTGATTTTTATGACTTGGAGAGATTATGGAGAGCATATCTCTTAGTAATCTTTTTTTTTAAACAATGTTTTTTTTTTTAATTTTTATTTATTTATGATAGTCACACAGAGAGAGAGAGAGGCAGAGACACAGGCAGAGGGAGAAGCAGGCTCCATGCACCGGGAGCCCGACGTGGGATTCGATCCCGGGTCTCCAGGATCGCGCCCTGGGCCAAAGGCAGGCGCCAAACCGCTGCGCCACCCAGGGATCCCATCTCTTAGTAATCTTATGGGAATATAACATATTGCAATGTAAAAATATGACGGTCATATGGCTAAGACAAATACTCTTGTATTAACATTTAGGCTGGAACATATATCTATCAGATCATTTTATCCATGCTTTCCTTCTCCAGAACCTGAGAAAGTTGGTAAAGCAATTTTACATTCTTTTTACTACATGAAGCCCCATAAAGTCACAGCCTAAACTATGCTTAGTATATGATAGGCATCCAGATAATTGAATCGGACTGTATTTCTAGTAAAAATTACACACACACCATCAGTTATAAGGGAATTTAAACATTAACAATTAGGACCCAATTATATGACAGAAATTTTAAATAATTCAATTCAACAAACATTTATTGATTGCTTATTTTATATTAACCTTTAGCAACCCCAGCATCTGTAAGGAACTGTGATTAGAGTTTTATATATATATAAAATATATATTTATATATATATATAAATTTCATTAAGATTTTTGCAGGGCATAAAATCTGTTGTCATAAGGTTTTTTGATGAAATACATAGTTTTTATATTTTTCCTCAAAAACAATAACAAAACTACTAGTGAAATTGTTAAGTAGAAAAAAGTGTTACCACAGAAAGGATATCTTTATAATCTTTAAGCTTTTTAAGGAAGCAAACTGTATTATACTTAGATTTATATAACTGACATATATGTCAGTATTATTATGATTGAAGGAATGATGTTCAAATATGGTCTGGTAACTAGGTACCTCTTACTGACTGAAGAATAAGCACCAAAAAGTGCTTCCCACTTCCCAAGTAGTTGTTTTATAAGCACAGAAAATGGATCAGAGTTCCTTATTTTGATAGTAGAAATTACTATCATATATTACACTATACAGGTATTTTTATTTACCAATTGACTCACAAAAGGGCAAAGTGGAGCCT